TCACTATTAAAAACATAAGTGTAACACCCCTTTACTACATGTGTAACCCCTTTATGACAGTGTCAAAATACTTTGGGTTGCATGTATAGTATTGAAGGACCAGAAAGCAAAGATTTTGACTAATAAAGCATTTATTATTTGGAATATTATATTGACGTGTTATATCACTAGAACAAATAAATTTTCGATCAAAAATTTGACATGCACGAAAAAGAGGACGTCCAGGATGAGAAGGAATATGTGCTTTCTTGTACTTCTTCTATTCATTATCGTGTTACACTTATTTATAGTATTTCCGTTTTTAAATATTCCGTGATTTCTTTAAATTCCCTGATTATCATGTCACACTTATTTATAGTATTTCCGTTTTTAAATATTCCGTGATTTCTTTAAATTCCCTTTTTTAAATTATCTGCAATTCAACTCAATTTCAATACAATTGCAGTACCTTACATTATTTCCGTTTTTAAACATGCAGAAAATCATCGTCCCTGTAGTGAACCAAATAAAAGAATTAACTTTCTAAAATGTAACTGACCTTTGATTTTAAAAATCTATTTAAACGATGACTTGTCTATACTAGAAATAATATAGTAAAAATTCTGAAATTAAAGAATTATACTTTTATATGACTCAACTAAAATATCATAATTTCCTAATGAAAAAACAATTTTTAATAATTCAACTCATATTAATATGTTCAATGCTTAGCGGAAATATTGCTGAGCAAAATCTCCATCTTTTTAAACGAGATATCAATGAACCTTGCAAGGATAACCTAATTGTTAGGTACAATCCCGGGGGTAGCTTAAAGGGGGAAGGTTGTTATTATGCAAGTTATATTGACAAAACATTCAATGGTCTCTCCTCCCTCAATAATCTATCCACTATAACATTTGCCGATCCTTACACCGACCAAGGCGTAATGGATAATGGGTACTGCATTAAGCACTGTGCCGATTATCTGTTTAGTTTTGCTGCCATTGGAAATGGTTTGTTATGCAAATGCAGTAATGATGCTACTTTCCCAGCCTATAAAATTACTAACGAGACGCTAAGCGATGAAACCTGCAACGATAGTTGTACTTTTCCGGTCTCAATCAATAGTAATTCTACTTACCAATGTGGTGGAAAAAATGCTTATACAATTTATGAGGCCAAATACGACAAGAAGCCCGACATCAATATTAGGAAAAAGGTAGAAATAATCCATGACCAGAAGAAGGATAATCGTTACATTGGATGTATTCATGACAATTTCTATTGTGGCAAAAGAGCAATGAACGATGATGACAAAATTATTACTGATGAAAATTTGACGGTTGACAAATGCATAGATTTGTGCCGCGAAAGAAAATTTAAACTTGCGGGACTAGAAGCTGGTAATCAATGTTTTTGTAGCGACAGTTATATTGGTTTGGGTGGTATTCGAGATGAGCATTGCAGTTCTAGTTGTGTTGGCAACAGTTCCCAAATTTGTGGAGGTTCTTGGGCACTTAGTATATATAATGTTTCTCCTCCTCCTCCTCATAATCCTCTTACGCCAGGTGCAATATTTGGTATAGTGGTAGGATCACTAGTTTTTGTAGCGTTAGTTCTCATAGGATTCTATTTCCTTCGCCGTCATTGCTGCCAACCTTAGCGGGAAGGAACTAATCGGCAACTTAAAACTAGAAAACTTTGCTAATTTAGAAACTTGAAAATAATTCTACACAGAAAGTGCAAATTACGTTTAAGTAATACATTTAATTAGAATAAAATTATAGGGACTCAGAGAACTAGACTTTAATATGTATAAATTTTCTTAACTTCATGTATTATCTTCATCTTAACATCTTATTATCTTTACTACTAATCACATAATTATCTACTAAAAAATATCTTGTAAAAATAACTATTGTAATAATCACATAATTATCTTACTAAAAAATATCTTGTAAAAATGACTTTTGTAATAATATTAATATTAATTATAATATAACAATAAAGTATATCAGATTGGATCTTAAGTCTAAACGGTAGCAAGAGTAATTCTCTTACTGACATCTTTTTAATTAATTAACTTAATTAATTACTATCTTATCAGGGGGACGCCTTTGCTAAGTATAGCTGTAAATATTTAAAATACTTATGTTCTCCTCTATTAGTCGTGTGACAAAAAATCAAGGGGCAAGTTTGTTTTCCGAAAAATTTCCGGTGATCTGCACAATTTTTTATTAATAAAATTTCGAATTGAATGTTGCTGTTTAGCAAGTGCCACCAAATTTGATATATAACTTCTTTCTCATATGTATCTGCTTTAAAAAAATTTTTGAAGCAAGTTGTTAATAAAACCGAAAATAATCTCAGCCTTAAAGTCAAATTTTGACTTTGTATTCATATATATAGAAATTTGTTAGTGCGTATATAATTATCATAAACAGGAAGACACAATATACAGAGGTGGTATTTGACTATGAAGAGGTATGTAGATATCTAGAAGCGAATAATATTGATTCAATCATTCTCAATAATGCTGGTTCTGAAATTTTATTTTCTATGTACATCAAGTAAAACATTAATAAAAAGTATAACATTCAATATTATTAATTTTTGATTATGTGTTACACTATGGCTAGATAATACAAATATTGTAAATTGTCATTTAGCAGGAAAATAATGAAAAGTTATATACAAAAAAAATCTATTAATCAGAAGTATACATATACTAAAAATCCAAACCAAAATGAACAGCTTCTATTAACATTGTGTGATTTGCTCACCAGTTTTTAAACTTGGGAGTGCCAAGGGTGTCTTGTTTGAATATTGCTTTTGTTGTCAATGATTCTGGATCACCTGGATTAAAGACTAGTGCCATAATCCAAAAAAGGAAAAAGTATGGTTGCAAAAGTGGTCACAAAGGTAATTGCGACCACTTTTTATATGCCATAAATACAATTACTACCATAATCATAATTTACAGCACTAGTCTTTAACCTGGATTACAAAGCTTAGTATAGAAAATTTCAAAAGATTTATGAAAAATATCTTGTACTTTTAAAGATAATTCTATATCATCTCAAAAGATAACATAACCTTTAATGATGCTGGAATTAAAGTCTAGTACGATAATCCAAAAAGGAAATAGTATGGTTGCAAAAATGGTTGCAAAGGTAATTGCAACCACTTTTTATATGCTGTAAATACAATTACTACCATCACCATAATTTACGACACTAGTCTTTAGCTGGAATTAACACTTGTCCAATGTGAACCATGGTGTATATTCCTTGAACAAGGTCCATGGTGTAATAGTCAATTTTATAATCTATAAAGCAAATGTTTAAAAAGTGATTAAAGGAATTATGTAAGAGAAAAAGAAACATTCATAATAACTTTCCTTACCGACACATTGGAAGCCCAACACCTTTATATCCACACCTTTGTCAATTGATGAATCAGGGTTGTCTTTCATGAATATACTCAAGCAGATAAGATTGTTACAGTTTTTGTAAACATCTCCTTTGTTTGATGGAGGACTAACCTCACCTCAAATATGGTGGCATTGGTCTGTAATTGACAGATAATGGAAACAGCAAAGTCTGGTTGCTTAATCTGACCTTCAAATCTTCTTGCTTTGGATTCATTTAAAGCTGTATTTGGCCATTGTACTATGTGTTTGTCAGGGTCATCGAAAAGTCCTTTCATAATGCAGTCAAGGAGATTGGTATAATGTGTTATCTCACTGCGTCTATTTCTTATCTTTGAAGTAAGTAATGTTATCAAGCAGTCCAAGACAACAAAACCCAAATCCCTTCTTAAAGACTGCTCGTTTTTCCACATAGCCAATTGATGGCATTATCATGTGATCTAAAGACTAGTGCTGTAATCCAAAAAAGGAAAAAGTATGGTTGCAAAAGTGGTTGCAAAGGTAATTGCAACCACTTTTTACATCAGGAAACTTTTCCCGCCATAATATTACATCTGTAAGTTTTAATATGAAATGTCGTAATATTACGCATAAAAAGACATAATATTTACACTGAATGTAATAATTGCGTAATTTTTGCATAATTTTTGCATAATATTACACTATTTACGTAAGTTTATGGCGGGCCCCGTAATATTATGCAAATTTGTGTCAGAAAAATTTCCTGATGTATATGCCATGAATACAATTATTACCATCATCATAATTTACAGCACTAGTCTTAAACATGATCCATTCATTGCCATCTTGACTACTTTTCTGAACATTACTTCAGAATTCGAATCTAATAATATCTGTTGTTCTGGTGTGAATTTTTTATAAATTTTATTAAGCAGGAACTGACTCATCCTAGATAAATTTGATGTTGAATTAGTTAGGTCACTTTTTACCCAATGACGTTGACAATGTAAATCATACCAGCTTCATATTAACATTCCTCATAATTGTTCCAACACCTTCTTCAGTCCCCTGTGTCATAATATGGGCTACCTCACCTATAATTCAGAACAATCATTAGCCATACAACATATAATATCAGGGTAGGTAAAAAATTATTGACCTGGTCCAATCGAAGTCACCTTTTTTCTTTGCCATATTCTATGTCCAAAGATTCACATTTGATTTCATTCCAGAATTTATTGATATCTATATTCTTGCTTCAATGATCCTACAAAAATAATATACAATTTTGTTACCATCTTTGTCTATTAAAAACCCACTGGCAAAACAGACCACAACAGGATCTAATGAACACCATAAGGTCAGGTGGGACGCAGGCACCTGCCATAGTTGTGTGAGTGTTACCCCTTTTCAGGACTACTGGAGAACCCCACCTCTACAAAAGAGGCATATGATACAGCCAAGCTTGTAGACCACAACGGGATCTAATGAACGCCATAAAGTGAGCGGGACGCAGGCGCCTACCGTAGTTGTGGAAGATGTTTCCCTTCTCGAGACTTAACAGGGCCCTCCATACTGTCTGCCAGTGGTCTGCCTGCAAGTGATGATTAAAATGAAAAGATACTTGCCTTAAAACATTGTACAAACATTAAGCCATTTGTTTCTCTAGAGTCGATCCACATTCCACCAGATATTCCAAGCATTTGTTGAGTCTTCGTGCCTCTAAACAAAAATTATTTGTAAAATCTTTTTGGCTTTTACGATATTGGTAATAACCAAGAAACTGATAGTCCTTTGGTGCAGTTTCCTTGAAGTATTGGTCAAGAGAATATTCCATGATTCCCGAATTAAAAAAAAAAATTGCTAAGACAATTATTAAATGAGGGAGATGGATCACCATTGATTTACTTATTTAAAATTCCTGATGAGGTAATTATAATAATCTTTCCATGACCTTCCATGTTGTACAACATATTAATTATCTGATCTTATCCAATTTGGATTTCTCTTTACATCTCAACAACGTTGAATCTTTGATCCAATATACATATTAGAAAATATGGAAAGGTACCCAACTAATTTATACTTGCATCGAAGAAAAGTTTTGTAGAATATGCAGAGCATAGAGACTTTGACTCATATATTCATGGACTTCCCTCTAAATTTTGGAATGAAGCTATGGTCAGAGAATACATTGGAGGTAAGTCAAATGCCTTCTCAAAGAGACAGATATCGGTATAGATATTGACAATTATATTTAATCAATCAAGAAATAGTAGATAGATTATTTAGATTATTGGCTAATTTTCATATTTTATTTGATATGTAAGAATAATAGAGAAAAAAGGAATAAACGCGAACTTGCAAGGGAGAAAACATGCGGCCCCTAGACCATTTAATGTACGCCCCTTTACTTTGGCTCTACCAGGTGAATACTATTTATTACTATTGTTATCTATTTCTTCATTGTAATCACCATTATAATTATCATTGTTATTATTGTTAAATACAGATTTTTTTTTTCTTTACTTTTGAGTACGGTCCAAGAATTGATTGCTCCTACAACCCTGGTGTCAACTTTTTGTCATTTGGTTATAATAATTTTCAATAGCCTTGGATCCAAGAAGTTTTATCCTGCTTCATTTTTTAGATCGGCTATAATTTCATTAATCATTTCTGATTTAGTATGATTCTTTTCTCGCATAGTCTCGTCGAAAAGGTTCTTGAATTTTTGCATGAGTATTTCTGAAGTTTGTCTTGAAGCTGAAATGATACAAAAATATTTGATTTACTATGGGCGTCTCACCAAAGATAACGATATTTATGCATTACCTCGAGAACTGCTTGAACTATTATTATTTGAAATATTGCTTGAATTATTAGTTAGGGTATTATCTTCGCGGAATCTTTGTTGAATCTCTTCACTGAGTAAATAAATTTTTTCGGGAAAGTTCATCTATTTTATTATTAAATTCTTCAATTTTATTATAAAGCTCATCAATTTTATTATCGATTTCTTCAAATTTATTATCAATTTTTTCAGATTTGTTTTTTTGGTTCTCTTTCAATAAATCAAGATCCATATCGATCCGTTGTTTAAATATGTAGAAAACAAAGCATGCAACGGTAATGAATAGGTATATGAAGAATTTTTCTCCAAATATAAATGTTACGATAAGTATCAAGACAGGTATGATGAATAAATAATTCTCTAATG